TTGCTGCCGCTTTTAATTGGCTCAACATGCCTAGGTCACGGCCGGCTGCAGGGGAGGGGGGGGCAGGGAAAGAGCGCTGGCGTTTGAGGCCTCGGCCGGAACCTCAAGCCTCTGGTATTTTAGCCCGCCTCAATCTGTAAGCCGTTGGCAGTTGTTTAGGCACCAAGCAGCGCCTAGCTCCTGGATTTCAGTTGCATGGCGCCGCGGCACACTACCAAACCTGGTGTGCCGATAGGTGGACGAATCCGCTGTAAGCAGGGTAAACCCCCGGGGAGGGGGCAGGCGCACGCAAACAAGGCAATGCCCAGGGGAGCGGCCGTCCCACAGGCCTCCGCGTGCCTGGCGTTCCCCCCTATCCACGCGGTCTCCCTTTGATCGCAAATGCCTTGCTCACACAGCGAGGCCTTCTGGACCTGTCCAACTTATCCTGCGGGCGCCCGGCGGCTCAGGTGGGCAGGCCACATCATTCGCAGTCAGAAGTGCCAGGATGTCGGCCAAGCGGTCGACGCCCTCACGTCGAGCATGTGGCCCCGCTGACGTCCGTCAGGGAGCTTCTAGCAGGAGTGAGTCCTGTAGGCAGCCCCCTTTGGACATGATTTAAGGATCGTGGTGCATCACGCTGCAGCCGGGAGCGTCCTTGCACATCCAGTCTGACCCACTTGCTCCTACAGGTACATGACCCGTAGGCAGCAGCTTGGCCACGTTGGACACCCAGCCGCCCCAGGCGGGGGGGGGGGTCGGTCGCCGGTGGGCGGCCCTCGACGCTTCTCCGTTAAGGGGTACCAGCGCCGCAGGGGGGGTGGGGAGGGCGGATGGCCTGGAAACGCACCCACGTCATACTGAGCCGCGGCTGACATACGTCATCTGTTCGCTTATGAATTTCCTGCGTTGCCAGTTCGCTGTCAATCGGCCCCGGCATGATGGCCCTTTGGCCAGGAGGCGAACTATTTCGGGCCCCGGCCTAATTGTTGCTGTCTGAGCCATGCCTAGCGCTGCGTTAATTTGCCTTCATCTGCACCTTCTAGTGAGGTGACACATGCTAGGCAAGTTTTCGTTGTGCAGTGTATGGGAGGGGGGCCTACGTTCACAAAAGGTGCGTTCGCCGCCCCTCGGCTCTCTCAGCGGCTGGCATACGCCATCTGCCTTTTTGCATTTCTTGCTTGTCAGGTTCCTGGCTGCGAGGCAGGGAGGCTGTGCCCCTTCCGCATCAGCCTCTGCGATTGCTGTGTCCACCTGCTAGGTGGTGCGGGGACAGGCCTATGTGGCCCAGTCCCTTCTGCAATGGACATGAGACAGTGGTCGCTCAACCTCCGCTGTTCGCTGGAGGTGTTGGCTGCCGAGCGTCTCGTGGTCGCTCGCCCCTGGGCGCCTTACCTAGCGGGTATTGATCTGCCTTGCTAGTTGCTATGAACCGCTCCGCCTCATGCATCTGTCGCCTTCCGGCTAGCAGTCAGGAGGGTAGCCTGCGACATACGTCGCTCGCAATTTACCGCCACATGGAGGCACCTCCCACTTCAACGGCTGAGCGCACAACAAGGCAGGCCACTGCTATCAATCTTGCGGAGCTCCCGTCAGAGCCGGAGTCCGACGGAGAGCCTACGGCTTATCCTGGTGCGGGTCCCTGGTGGCCACAGCCAACGAGCAGACTGGAGAGCGCATCCATAGAGAGGCAACCGACCTGTACCACCGTATGGTCTCCCAGGAAGTCTCCTGTGCAGTCGCGGACACCCTGGCAAGACGCGGTATTTTCATGAATCTGGCGGTCACCCGTGTCGAGCCCACCGCTGTTGCTCAAGGATCTATGGCTATCTATGTCCGACCGCTTGCGCCGCTGGAGGGTGAGCACCCCTGGACTGTATACGTGAACCAAGACTTGGCCGACGAAGGCTCGGCTGCTGAGGAGGCCAGCGAGGGTTCCGGGCCTTCAGCACCGGTCGGTCCGCTTGCGAGGTGGACGGCGTCGGGCCCGGCTACCTGACAGGGAGCACTCGGGAGACAGTGACGTTGAGGAACTATTGGCGAATGATGGCCCGGCGAACGCCACCGCTGACTTGGGCACCGGCTACGACACTCAGCCAGCTGCCCCCGCGCCCAAGCCGAAGTCTAGGCGGAAACGACTACGGCCGGCCTAGTGCGGCGGGACTGGATGGAAGCCGCCTCATCAGGTCACGATCTCCATTGACAGTAGCAGTGCGTGGCCCGGGTAGCCCGCCCGCCCCTTTGGCTTGTGTTATTTTTGAAAACGACAGCTTGGTGATGCGAACACGTGTGCCCACCTTCTTTGCAGCCGCGGACCTAGGGACCTTTGCCTGCTCCGGTGAGTTTAGGTCGCGGTCGTGCTTCGATCAGCTGGGCAGGTGCCTCAGAGGGCTTGCCCCGGCGTGCTATCGCTGAAATTTCGCCTCATGTTTTGACTGCCGCAGCCCCTTGCCTCGAACTTGAAGGGTTAGGGGGCGGCGACATACGTCGCTAGCCGGGTAATGGCCTGTGCCGATGGAGTGCCTGCAAGTGGCCGCTTCGGCGAGCAGGACCTCCGACTACCTGCGCGCCCGAGCCGCGGTCCTCGGACCAGTCGCAAAGCACATCGGGATCAGGTGCCGTATGTGTGCTGCACCCCAGGGCCCCAGGGTGTCTTTTCACAAGGGCCGGCACCGGCATTGCTGCTCCCTCTGCAGCGTAGGTCAGCAAATTGACAGATGCGAATGGCACTATGCACGGCTGCTTAACCGGACACGGCGTTCGGTCCTGTCTGCCCCGCCCAGGCCGCGAGGAACTAAGAAGCCTTGGATTTAGCACCCGGAACCTCGTAGACAGCACTTTACCGGGATCTTAGAGGAGCCTTCTCAAAAATTTTGCTCAGCTTGAGCATCCGCACTGCGAACGGCATGAGTGTGATTCATGCACTGCAAGACAAAAGAGGGATGCTCTGTCGCGTTGTTGTCTCAAGGAAGAGGCCACCGAAGAAAACGCAAGAAGTAAAGCAACCTTTTATTTTTCAAAATCGGTCCAAGGCGGCCCACGCGAGGGCCTTCGTCCGGGCTCAAGAGAAACCACTATCTCGGAGCGAGACTGTGTGGTTAGCACTGGCCCGGAGGGCGAGCAACGCCGCCAGACAACTTGATGGAAGATCAATCACATGCGCCACCAGTGGCGCACGATAAGTAATATCCTCCCGATTCGGCAGGAAGCGATGCGCCGAGAGGCGACCACGACGAACAAGGGCGGCGAATAACGCAAAGTGTTCCTCCAGTATACATCGAAGCGTATCGTCCCATATGTCATCCTCGAGCGGAGGGATATCCGGATGCATCAGTACCTCCAGAGCTGCCTGTTCGTCGCCTCGATCGAGATAGAGGTCGACTGTAATGACCCATCGCAAGGGCGAGAGGTTGGGCAGAACTGCGTGGACAAAAACGATGCTGGGGCCGAAAACCGCTTCCATAACTTGCCCGGCAGAGTCTCTGAGCTCCAGGAACACCGAGGCCGTGCCGAATGCTAAGCCAACCTCGCGTAAGACTTCATCTGCTGAAGTGGCAATAGGCAATAGGTGGCGAGGCATACGCTAAGACTGGCATGGTCCAGAACCAGTTAGCCCTGAAGCAAGGCATTGCACAGTTCCGAGGGGTTGCTGCCAACTCGGATTCGAGCAAGTTCCCGCCGGGCCATGACGCAGCTACGCTCCGCTTAGCAAGTAGCAAAGAGTGGGTCGATGTCAACTGATGAGGTAATCTGAAACATGTCATAGCCTGGGATGTTGACGTTGGCAGGCATCTCACTCCACACACTAGCCATGGGGGAGAGCCGGGAGGGGGCGCTCAGGGATCACAAAGGTACATCGACGTATGTCGACGTGCTGGCAGCCCACACGGCACAAGGTCGTGCGCATAGCCCGATGAGTAAAGTGAAATGCACTGGCAGCCGCTCCCACCCCCCCCTTTTGTTAGCCGGAGCATTCCATCCGCAATACAGCTGGGCCTCCGACCTACAGGCATGGGGCGAGGGGCTATCTCAGCGCATAGCGCAGATAAGGCTGACCCCAACCACCAGAGGACGCTTGAACTGCAACGACTGGGAAAACCTGAGGCCCGTGCGAGGCAGTGGCAAAAGGGACCTCGGCACATTCCGAGAGTGCTAGGCAGGGAACTAGGTGTCCAGCGTGCGAGAAACGTAGCTGACTCGTTTCCGTTGCGCCGAGGTGCCGGGTCTCAAAGGAGCTAGCAGAGGCCGCAGCGTGACGAAGCCTGGCGGAGGCGGGCGTCACCGGGTAGAAGGTCTGCAGCGGTGGTCCATATCGGTGACGAAATCGCCACGAGCTATGGTCGATGGTGCCGCTGGGGAAATCTCTCCTCCGGGGCACACTGTGCATATCCCGGACGTGGGCGCCGCCTCGGCTGCAGACAAGCCCGGGATTGCGGTCTCATGGGCAGCATAGGGCGACTCCCATACCGCCGTAGGTATCAGGTCTCCCGCCGTACAAAGAACGGTGCCGCTCTCACCAGCGCCGGGCAAGGGCGCTGGGTTGCTTGCGCCCCGACCGGGCACATGGCGCTGGCGCTGCTCACATTGTGGGGTATGCACCTCTCCATTAGTGCTTCCGCAGAGAGCACAGCATCGAGTGTGCGCATATCCAGCGACTCTAGGGCAGCTCGGAATACAGCAGCGCGCTGCATGGTGTCAAGGACAGAGCTTGAAGAGTTCAGTCTTTAGACTGCAGGCTCAGTTCCTGATTTTGCAACCGCGCATCACTTGGCTTGAAGGGGCGTCGGAGAGCACTGACGCTCCCCCTTTCCTTCATACCTTAGACTAGGATGGAATCCCAGACATGTGCCGCCGCACCTGCCTCGGCAAAGGCTGCAAATGTTCAAGGTGGGGCTGGTGAGTTCACTTTCCCGCCTTTGCCGCCTCTAGTGGTCAGCGACTTCACAGGTGAGGTGCCATTACCACAGGATTTCCCAGGCTTTGGCGAATCGTCGGACGGCAGCTTCAGTCGAGTTAGCCTAGTTTGCGAGCGTGTCGGGAACGACCTACACCTCACTCAGCTTGAATTCCCGGAAGACTGGGAAGAGGACCCGTCACAGGTCCCCGATGCTTGGACGCCTCCTGGTGTGGAGACCTTGGAGCGAGCCGATAGGGATGTGGCCAGTCTGATGCGAGACATTTTCGGAAGCGACGATTCTCATGTAGGGCACATGGAATCGGGGACAGCCTCGAATGCACCCCGACAGCAGTCGGTTTCTTCGATCCCTGTTCTTGACAAAGCTGCGTCGTTGGCCCATGCAGATGCCTCTGCTGAAGGGCTTAGCTTGGAAGCCCCCGGGGCATTCGCTTCGACCGCGGGTGTCGTAGATGATGCTTTGGGTTCCTTTGTAGGAGGGCTTGTTAAGCAGGATGTTGCTAGATTCGGCAAACTTGATGACGGTCTTAGGCTTCCGTGGGAGAGTGAGTTCTCCAAGCTGCTTTTCGACCCAGACTGTGGGACCCTTTGCAAGGTCGCAAGCAGGGGTCGATCTTCCCGCCGATCACACACAATGCCCAGGCAGCTCGCAAACCTGAAGCCGGGTCCAAGGATGCTCCGTCGGGTTCGATTTTCGCCTGGGCCATTGCGTTGGGTTCTGCAGCTCGCGATCCCGCCGCGGAGCGAGAGCGTAAGAGGGAGCAAGGTATCGGCATGTGGAGTAGACTTGTGCTGAGGTACTCTGAGTGCTGCTCTCTTTTCGAGTGTGTCTGTCAGGGAATGAGAAACAGAGAAGCGGGCTACGAGGACGTTGTACTGGCTGTTTCAGCTGCTGTGGAAGTGAAATCACCGCACACCATACACAAACGAGCTGCATCCTTTTGGACCTTCGTTCGATGGCTAGATGTCCACGAGCCCTTAGCCCCGAGCAGGCTGCATGAGGTGCAGGTGTGGAATTTTGTGCAGTTCCTCAAGGAAACTTCTGCGCCGGCCTCCAAGGCTGCTTCTGTCCTGAGTGCTTTCAGGTTTGCTCACTTTGTGCTGGGGTTCCGTTTGTCGGGCATAGTTGATTCTAGGAGGATTGCCGGAGCCACTGAGCAGCAGCTTGTGAACGTGCGCAAACTCCGCCAGGCTAAAGATCTTACGGTCTCGCAGGTACTCGAGTTGCACGCAAGGTTGGAGTCGGGAGCCTTGCACTGCTTTGACCGCGCACTCCTCGCTTCTCTGCTGATTAGGCTGTATGCTAGGGCTCGCCCGAGCGATTTCCTTTTCGTTGAGTCGGTCGAGGTTGACTGCCCGCCTGGAGCCGACTACCCGTTGTTAGTGTTCGAAGTTTCCCAGCACAAGGGGGCCAGGAAGGTGCAGCTTAAGACCAAGCTGCTGCCGATCCTGGTTCCCATGATCGGGGTCCACGGAAAGTGCTGGATTGATGAAGCCTTGAGTGCTTTCCGGAAGGCGGGGAGAAGCTTGACTTCAGTTCGGGGTCCTCTGACCTTGGCGCCTGCCGATGAATCAGGGGTCGTCTCTTCGAGGAGGTCCATCGCTTCCTCCGAAGTGGGCAAGATGTTGCGAGCTTTCCTAGGTTTGCCTGAGGAGGTCACCGATCCTTCGGCCCCCAGGGTCACTTCATACTCGTTGCGAGGCACTTGCTTGGGATGGGGAGGCAAGTTCGGGTTTGACGAGGACCTGAAAAGCATCTTGGGGAGACATGTGTCCTCGGTCAAGACTACGCAAGCCATCTACAGCAGAGAACTGTCAGCTGCACCGGTCAGACGGCTTCAGGACATGATCAGAGAAGTTGCAGCCGGAAACTTCTTCCCTGATAACAGTCGCTCGAGTTACTTCCCGAGGCGAGCAGTTGGTAACGAGGAGGTCACGATCCGGGGCTCCGACAAAGGATCAGAGAAGCTCAATCCAGTCAAGGTTGAGGTGGTCAGCAGTGACGAGTCCGAGGCAGGGAACTCTGTTTCCTCGGACAATGAGTGCAGCGATTCCTCTCAGTCATCGCAGTCTTCCTCCTCGTCGTCTGCGAGCGAGGCGGTTCAGCCTGCTGTTCGTAGGTGGAAGCGAGCCAAAGTCGAGGAGCCAGACCAGGTGTGGTATGTGAACACTTCGAGTGGGGTCTTGCATCTGCTTGCCAGCCCCGATGATGTTCCGATGCTGCTCGCATGTGGGCGACCCGTAAGTGGGAACTATCGTGAAGCGACGAGGATCGAAGTCAGTCGTGGCAAAGAGTGCCGGACCTGCCGGCGCAATGTGTGAGGCCCGCGCAGAGCGCGCTTTTGGGCGAACGATGAATGTATCGTGTGCTGGGAAGAAAGCGGTGAGCGAAGTGCTCGTAGCGACGTGCTGTGTGAGCGTGTGGATGTGAACACATGACATGTGAGTTTTGAGCTACTTGCTTGAGTGAATTCGAGTGTGTTCGTCTTCAGAATGTGGGCTCAACATGACGTCTCTTGTAGAGAGTACGCATCACTTCAAATCGCGATGTACCGAGGTTGGCCTCAGTCGCGAAAGCCTCAGGGCGCTCGCGGACCATGGGATCGATACTTTGAGCAAGCTGGCTTATTCCTGTGGCCAGCCGGGCACGCCGCTGCCTCAATCTGAGTTCGATGATTTCATTTCCACGGTCATGCCAGCGGCACTCTTGGGTGAGAAAGGAAGCGTGAAGCGGCTTCTCTTCGAGAGTCAAGCACTCCTGCTTAATGATCTCAGGGAACAGGTGACCCAGCCCGATAAGTGGTCTACGCGAGACGTTCCGACGGTCGAACGTCAGAAGAGGATGGAGGCCGTGCGTGCCAGCATACCGGGTGTTGTGCTTGAGGGGTCCCTGGAGCCCTCCCATGGTCTCTTGAATGCAGCTTGTCGAATGGAAAGAGAAGGGCAGCTTCGCTACATAGCCCCCGAGCAGTGCGGCACTCGCATGTATGAGATCCAGAATGTTAAGGCCCAGAGTAAAATCCTGTCATTGGAGGAGGGCAAGTTGGCGATTTCTGAGGAGAAAGGGTTGCCAGAAGTAGCCTGCGGGTCAGCCTTGTTATTGCAAGAGGCTTTGAAGCGCCGAGGTGTAGCTCTCCAGTTCGCCGGTGTAGCCAGTTACGTGGCACATGAAAGGTATGTCCTCAAACTCTTTGGGCATATGGGGCGAGAGCCCCCGCCAGGCTATGCAAGGACTAGTGTACACCAACTCCTTACGGCAGATAGGCAGGTCTGGACGCGAATGATCGAAAACGAAATCAGTCCGAAAAGGAGTGCAGATGGGACATACCCTGTTGATCGGGCTCTGCTCCCCACACTTGAGACCTTTGACGTAACTGTAGCCCTCCTTCCGCGAAAGTCCGAGGAAAGCAAGAAGAGGGTCGCCACGCCGCACAAGCCCGGGGTTGAGCGAGACACTAAAATTACGAAGCCCCCCAAGGGCAAAGGTAAAGGCAAGAAGGGCACATGGCAGCCCAGTGTGCCGGAAGCCATCCGTAAACTGGGTGGAGTTGCAGAGACTCCCGACAAGAAGCGCATTTGCTTCTCCAGGAATCTGCCGTGCGGCTGTACTCAGGATCCGTGCCCTAAGGGCTTGCATGTTTGTGCATTGTGTTTTGCGCCTGACCATGGTATTCAGGAGTGTCCAAAGAGAAAGAAGTGACTGCAAACAGGTGCTCCGAACAGTTTTGTGTCGACCGATGACAGTGAGGCCGCTGTTACACCAGTCGCATCGACCTCCGCTGGAGGTCATGATTCACCGATGCCAGATTCCATTCAGCTTGATTCGCCGGGGACAATATCCGTTGAGCCGGTGCACCCAGCTGAACAGTTTTGTTCACAGCTTCGGGAAGGTAAGCTTGCCGATGTTTTGCAATTGCTCACTATGCTTGAGAGCGAGACCCCGGCGAGGGGACAAGAAGCGCCAACAAAGGACCGCTCAAAGGCGTCAGGAAACACACCTCTGTTTTCCCAGCTTGTACGCGCTTGTTGTGTAAGCTTGTGCTGCAAACTTTCCCAAACGCCGACTTCACTTCTGTTGCGATTTTTAAGAACCTTCAGACTGCGTTGCATGTCGATGTAAATAACGAGATGGGGTCGCAAAATTACTTGATCCCGATTACCGCTTTCCAAGGTGGAGAGGTCTGGCAAAAAGGGCCCGGCAACGACGTCGTGCAGGACGAGCTAGGGTTTAGCCTCTCTGGGTCCTTAGTTCGGGTTGCCGATGGGCCGTGTACCCTAAACCCCCGTGAAACCCACTGCACCATGCCTTGGTCTGGCGACCGGGTGCTGCTGGTCGCCTTCAAACCTAATCACGCTGCAAGCTTGTCTTCGGAGTACCGCCAACGCCTGCTGGAAGCAGGGTTTCCAGAAAGTGCATTCCGTTCAAGGTCGTGCTCTCAGGGCAGCGACTCGACTCGCCCACGGGTTGTGCTCCCAGACCACTTTGTTGAAATGCCTACACGGCCCAGCGACGGGTCTGCTTGCACCTCCGACGCCGTCCCTAATCCTGCAACTTGGTGCGATCCCTTAGTCATTGAATTGTTTTCGGGGTCCGGCCGGGTAACTGCCTGTCTTAAACAGTTGGGGCTATCAGCCGTCGGAGTAGATGCTGACAACCGCAGGTCCATCTCAACATGCCTACAGGCCGATCTGGCCACGCCCAAAGGACAGGACTTGTGCATGGAGTGGATATCGTCACCTAGGTTAGCCGGCCTTTTTGTGACTCCGCCTGCTCACTTGGGCAGTGCTTTGGACCAATTCTTGGCAGCAGCCTTGTTACATGTCCTCGGCCGAGGGGCGGTCTGTGTTTTGGCCCAGTCGGGCGATGGGCCGTTCTGGACGTCCGACTGCTGGAGCAAGGTCTCTTCGCATTTTACTTTTGTGTCGTGCCACGATTGCGCATACGAAGGAAACCACCTGAGCACTACCATCTTTGCTGTCACCGATCGCTCATTTTCGAAGCTTGCTCGATTTTGCCCGGGCAACTCGTGCCGCCAGGACCGTCTGCCTGAGTCCAAATTGCATGGCGCCCATCCGGTGCGTCTTGCCATGCAGATAGCTTGCTGTTTTGCTCAACACTTCGTGCAAAAGGGCTGGCAATCGCCCCCGCAAACTTTTGATGCTTTTGATCCTCGCTTGGAAGTTCCTATGTCTCGTGCTTTGGCTGGTGCCCAACCTCGGGCCAGCAAGATACCGCCACTAGTTAGTGAGCATCAGCGGGTCCTAGTCTTGCAGCACCCTCCGGGGCTCGTGCTGCCGTGTCAGCCGATGCAACGACTCAGAAACCCGTGGCCCGTGCCGCCACAGTGTGGTGCCACCCTGGCACACATCCCGGCAAAAGCTCAGCTGCTCCGGCACGTGCCAATAGTGCAAGCTGGGGGTAAAGAACTGGTGAAAGTTGATTCTTGGGAGATGGCTTGGGGGTTACCCTGGGAGCCTGAGGAGTTCATGCAGAAGGCGTCCGAATCATGTCACCCAAGGTCGATGGGCTCGGTGCTCCCGGCCCCCTTGAATGATACTCTTGAATCCTTGGATAAGTTGGGAGACGCCGAAGTTTCCGCTTTGAGGGCTAGGGTAATCAAGGAGTGGTTGCACTTGGCGACTTCGTTGTCCTCCAATGAGGCGGAGCTGAAGGCCAGCATGCACCCCGATGTCCGTGAGATTACAGCATCCAAACGCATCCTCTTGTGGGAAGCTTTGCTTAAGAAATACGATTACCCAGACCAGTGTGTGTCGAGCCTTCTCAAGGAAGGCGTCCCGTTGGTGGGGCATGCGCCCATTTCGGGAGTCTTTAAACCAAAGTTCAAGCCCATGCAAGCCACGCCGAAGCAAGTTAGGGAGGATTCAAAAGTTTTTCGGGAAAAGGTTAAAAATTCCCTTAAGCCCCAGGACCCCGCCTTAGCAGCAGAAGTTTGCTCCAAGACCGATAAGGAGCGCGAAGCAGGTTGGATCGTTGGTCCCTTGTGCGAGTCCAGCTTGTGTGATGGGATCTTGGTTAGCCGTCGGTTCGGAATCCAGCAAGGCCAGAAGGTAAGGTGCATCGACAATTTGACTTCTTCGGGGGTGAACCTTGCGGTGCAGGCCTATGAGGCTCCGCAGCCTCAGTCTACAGACGTGGTTGCATCCACTTGTCTTCGACTGCTGAAATCCATCAAGAAGAGAGCAGGCAAGGTCTTGTTCAAAATCTTGGGCAAGGCGTTTGATCTCACTGCAGCTTACCGGCAGATGCCAGTCCACCCAGACACAGCCTGGGCAGCGTACGTTTGCTTCGTGCATCCAGACACGAACGAGCGAGTGTACTTTCGGATGAAGGCCATGCCATTTGGATCGGCAATGGCAGTCTACGCTTTCCTTAGGATTAGTCATTCCTTGTGGTTTCTCGGTGCAAAGGCATTGCTTTTGCCTTGGTCGTCGTTTTTCGATGACTTTGTCACTTTTGCGACGACGGGGTGCTCTGCGTCGGCAGAGGCGGCAGTAACGTCAATGTTCAAACTCCTAGGTTGGGCGTTCGCCGAGTCCGGCGAAAAGGCAAATGACTTTTCCGAGTGCTTCCAGGCGCTTGGAATCATGGTGGACCTTCGTGCATGCCTTGATGGCACCATAAGCTTCAAGAACACTGCAAAGCGGGTCTCCGAGATCAGGGCGTTCGTGGGCAAGGTGCTTGAGTCAGGTAGGTTGCCACATCACGAGGCTCTAAGGCTCAGGGGTAGGTGCCAGTTCGCCGATTCGCAAATCTTCGGTCGTACTGGGAAGAAGTGCTTGGGTCTGATCACTGCTCATGCTTACGGCTTTGACGATGTAATCAGTCGCGAACTCAGGGCATCACTCGAGAAGTTCCTGCTCCGGCTCGAGGTCGGGGCCCCGCGCTTGATCAAGATCCTTGAGGGCGGATCATGGCATGTGTGCACAGATGCTTCGTATGAGCCAGGGGCAGGGCATAGTTTCTGCGGCCTAGGAGGGGTGCTGGTTGATCCTACTGGTGTTCCACGAACATTCTTTTCACTTGTTTTGAGCGATGCACAGAAAAACTTTCTTGGCGAGCAGAATTCTGCACAGATCATCTTCCAGGCTGAAATGCTAGCAATGGCAGTGGCACTGGACGTATGGTTGCAGGACTTGATGGGGCACACGGCAATCTTCTTTGTGGACAATAACGGTGTGCGTGACGCAGCTATCTCTGCGAATGCCAGAGCTTCAGTCGCGAGACGGTTGTTGGAGGCGTTTCTGCAGAAGGAACATAACTCCTCAATCATTCCGTGGTTCGCAAGGGTACCATCCCCATCGAACCCTGCAGACGAACCTTCAAGGGTTGAGCTTGACAGCTTGAGCTTGCTGGGGGTTCAACTCCTTCGTTCGAATGTGACTCAAAGAGTCGACTCTTGCTTGAAGGATGTTCAGGGACTTAGGTAATAGGATTAAGTTGGGGGTGAATGCTAGCAGGGCCCCTCGCTGAGGGCTGCAACTCCCTGCGAACATTTAGGCTTAGCAAAATGCCAAAATGGGCATACGAACTTGGTGCCGACCGGCACTCCAGCAGTTGTTATCCCCAACGTCGCCGATGGAAAAACAGTCGTCTGTGCGAGCATCGTGTGCTACTTCAGTCTTGCTGTGCAACTTAGGCGAAGTTCTTTGTGCGAAACCTTTCCAACTCAGTGCAACTTTTACTCAGGAAACTTTTTGGTAAGTGCAGCTGTTTGGTCCAAGTCGTTCGGCTCAAGAGAACCACACAGTCTCGCTCCGAGATAGTGGTTTCTCTTGAGCCCGGACGAAGGCCCTCGCGTGGGCCGCCTTGGACCGATTTTGAAAAATAAAAGGTTGCTTTACTTCTTGCGTTTTCTTCGGTGGCCTCTTCCTTGAGACAACAACGCGACAGAGCATCCCTCTTTTGTCTTGCAGTGCATGAATCACACTCATGCCGTTCGCAGTGCGGATGCTCAAGCTGAGCAAAATTTTTGACCCACCCGCCAACCCTGGCAAGGGGGTGAATGCTAGCAGGGCCCCTCGCTGAGGGCTGCAACTCCCTGCGAACATTTAGGCTTAGCAAAATGCCAAAATGGGCATACGAACTTGGTGCCGACCGGCACTCCAGCAGTTGTTATCCCCAACGTCGCCGATGGAAAAACAGTCGTCTGTGCGAGCATCGTGTGCTACTTCAGTCTTGCTGTGCAACTTAGGCGAAGTTCTTTGTGCGAAACCTTTCCAACTCAGTGTAACTTTTACTCAGGAAACTTTTTGGTAAGTGCAGCTGTTTGGTCCAAGTCGTTCGGCTCAAGAGAATACTCCCGACATGCGGGGGCATACGCCCCTAGCATTTTCAGTGCTGGCTAATGCTCATTCGTGCACTGCCCTTCTCCTGCAGGCGAGGGCGGTGATAGATCCCCCAACTGGTTACAGCCCCCTGCTTCTAGCTGTCGCCCGGGGCCATCGTATTATGGTGAATGTCCTGCTCAATGCACAAGCGTGCCCTCACTCTGTGGCACGTCATGGCAGTTTGCGCGGGCTTTCACCTTTTGATCTAGCTTGCCAATGGGTGGATGAAGAAGTCCTGCGGGCGTTCCGCCTCTATGGCTACGAAGTCCCTCGTGCTGCAGGCGTATACCCACCACTACTAACGGTGCGTTTTGCCCTTAGCGGCCGCGTAATTGGACATAGCGAGGCCGGGGAGGACCATGCCAGCCTTATTCTGCATTGTCTGCAATGGCCTATGGCTGGTCTGGTAGCCCACGAGTCGGAAGACGAAGTCACCATCATCTACAGGTTCAGCCGGCCTTCACAGGCCCTAGGCTTACGGCGTGCTCTGGCTAGTGGCAGTTTCCTGCGCACCCTGGAACTACACCCTTGCTTGTTGGAACTGCCTGAACCTACGGTCTGGGGCGAATTTGGCCTTCCCATCTACTATGCTCTCAGTCGTCAGCTCGGTGGAGCTCTGGCAACCCTGCTGCTTGCACGGGCTTCGCCCAATATTCCGGCCTTGAGCTCCCGCGCTCGTCAGACTGTCCCTTTGCAGTATGCCATCCGCCTTGGCTCCCCTGCAGCAGTGGTCCAGCTACTTGAAGCGCTAGCCGACGTCCACTTCACAGGGGAGCACGGACCATCCCCCTTGCGGACCGCTGCGGCGCTGCGTAGTGCCCCGCTTGTGGCTCTGCTTTTGGAGTATACGGAGCCGGCTTGGGAATGCGGTTGAGTGATTTGCAGCCTTTAGTCGCTAGTTCGTTTTACCGCTCTGGTTATGGACGTGACACATGCCGCGTGGCCGCCATTCTTTTGCGTTGTGTGGAACTGGTCCCGCACCACGAGGCGATACTTCTGGCTTCTGAGGTGATTCCCCAGCTCCTCGCTGACGGTAATTGGTTTGCTTTATTTTGCATCCAATGCTGGGTTCAACGGCATCCGGACGGCCTCTAATAGTGTCACAAGTTGAGGGTGCACATTCATGTGGTAATTTGGCGCATACCCACAGTGGTCCGTGTTCTTCAAAACAATTGCTTTGCCTCTGTGGCGCGCTTTATGCTCATACCCCAGTTTAGCACGGACCGCCTCTTCATTCTCGGAACGACTCCCTTCCTGCTGCAGCGGTTTCTCGGCTCGAAATGCCTTGCGGACACCAGCGAGGCCCGCCATATCCGTTCAGCTTCCCCTGCGAGCGCCTGGTGGCTCCAGTTGGCAGGCCACGTCTTTTGCAGTCCGAAGCGCCAGGATGTTTGCCAGGCGGTCGACGCCCTCGCGGCGGACCGGTGGCCCTGAGGATGTTCGTCCGGGGATTGCTGTCGGGAATGAGCCCCTGAGGCAGCCCCCGTCGGCCATGATCTTGGATCTCCAAGGCACGTCGCTGGCAAACAGGTGTTTAGCCCGGTCGGCTGCTACTTCTCCGGTGAGGGAGCGGGCCGCCTCAGCAGTGGGGCTCGGGTGTGCTTGAAGCGCACGCGCACTACCCTAGCCCGCGGCTGACATACGTCATCTGCTCATCCGTGCTTTTGCTAATATGTCTTGCTCTGCGTTGCAAGGTCGCTGGGGCCGGCCTCGGCAGCGATGGCCTCTTGGCGCCAGGGGGGGGGGTGCCACCAACCGGCCCCCCCTCCTGGCGATTGAAGCTATCATCGGGGCTGCCCGGGCTACTCAGGTGACGCGCGCTGGGCGGCCGCTTGCTGTGCCGAGTACGGGAGGAAGAGGGGGGCCTAGTACGAGTCTGGAGCGCTCATCGCCTCCATGCTCGCTTAGCGGCTGACGTACGTCATCTGCTTATTTGCATTTGCTGTTTGTCAGGCACTTTGCTGCGCGGTGCGGCGCCTGGCACCCCTTCCCCAGCTAACTTGTGCAGCTGCTGTGCTCACACTGTCAGGCGATGCGGTGGCAGACCTTGAAGTACCTAGCTTCTTCTGCACTGGCCAGTGGAGCAGTTGCTGCCCCTCCTCGCGGTGTGCCGTAGGCCTTGATGGTGAGGGCCGCCGAGCCTTCTGCTGGTCGCTGGCCCCTTGGTGCCGCCTTTCAGTCGTTGGTTAGCCTTGCTAGTTGCTTTACGTCCACTTTGCCACCTGCATAGCGGCCCCCGGCAACACCTCCAGCGTCATCGGCCGGGCGCACACGAAGGCAGGCCCTCGCTATCAATCTTGCGGAGCTCTCTTCTGAGCCGGATTCAGAAGGAGAGCCAGCGGCCCCTGCTGGCCGCCACACGGCCCCCCGGCGCCGGTTCCCGTCAATGAGCCGCCCGGGGAGCGCATCCATAGGGAGGCCACTGACATGTACCACCGCATGGTCTCCCAGGAAGTCTCCTGTGCAGTCGCGGATACCCTTGCAAGACGCGGCATTTTTATGAACCTAGCTGTCACCTGTGTCGAACCTGATGCAATTGCCCAGGGGTCCATGGCCATCTATGTCCGCCCACTTGCGCCTCGGGAAGGCGAGCATCCCTGGACGGTATACGTCAGTCAGGACTTAGCAGACGAAGGCTCGGCGGCTGATGGTTCCTCGAACGCCACTAGGGCCCCGGGAACAGGCTCCGACGTTCAGCCCGCTATTCCCGCACCCAAGCCGAAGACCAGACAGAAACGGTCGCGACCGGCTTGATGCGACTGGCCCAGGTCCCGAAGGCTTTGCGACGGCGGTGTGGTGCCCGGGTGGCTCGCTCTCCTTGTGTGCCAGTACTCGATTGGTGCACCGCTCGCCTGCGCGGTACAAACAAGTGACCATATTCGGTAGGAGCGGCGGACCCGCGGTGACTTTTGCCTACTCCTGCATACTTAGGCCATCGCCTGTGCTTCGACTGGTGGGGTCCCTTTATGCGGCTTTCGTCGCACGGGCCTCAGGTTTGCCCTTCCGTTGCGGTCGGGAGTGATGACAGTGATTGGCCGCGGCCTTGGTTGCTCATCAGTCGAGGCTGCTTTTTGCCCCCAGCTTGGAGATCGAAGGCTGCTGGGTGCTGACCGCGCGGACGGACGGGCCGCCAAAAACAAAAAGAGGTGAGCGTCCGCTTGTGCATCGACACTTACTCTTTGGGCTATGCGAGAGATGTGCGTCGTGTTGGCTGCCAGCACGTCGACATACGTCGATGTCCGTTTTGTGACCCCTGGTCGTCACTCCCCTGCTTTGCCACATGGCGAGTACGTGGAATGAACTGCCGGCCAACGTTAATGTCACAGGCTATGACATGTTCCAGATTACCTCATCTAACGACATCGACCCGCTCTTTGTCACCTTCGCGCTGACCCTGGCATCCCTGCGAGGTGCGAACTGCGTGGTATTCGAGGGACGCATTCGACGGGCATGGGTCAAATTTCTTCCAGACGATCCCAGGCGTGCGGATGCCGTGTCCCGCACGAGACCGGATGAAGCCATGAGGCATGGCTACCAGGCCTTCTTTCGCGACGGCACCGAGTGAGGGGCTGCAGGCCACCGGCTTGCTCGGGATGGTTTTTTAAACTAGGGCACAGTGCCTCGTCACCGAACCCAAAGCCATGACTATCCTCTCGCGCGCCAAAAGCTCGCTGCCTGCTTGGCCCTTGGCTCGCAAGGTTTTCAGCCAGTGCACTTGCATATCACTGGGGCTCAGACTTGCGGCGACATACGTCGCTAGCACCTTCACTCCGTGTCCCACGGCCGCCCCAATTCCTCTCTTTCGCGATGGCGGCCCCTGCCTTGCCCTTGGTGTGGAAACGCCTCGATCAGCATATCAACGTTCGCTATGGCGACCTTTGTCACTTCGATTTGACGGCTGACCCCGAGTTTCAGCTCGCCCCCAGCGACGTGGACATGATCCTCATGGCAGCGGTTGGCATGCATGCCAACTTGGTTGTGATCGAACTGCGCCATAACTGGCAGGAGGCGGGACATGAGACTGTGAGGGTGTGGTTTAAGCAAGTTGCCAGCGTGGTGGAGCAAATTGCACATCACCGCGACTGGGACACCAGTGGCCG